GCGTTGTGTGTGTGGTTGTGTTTGTGTAGGCCTGCTGGCTTAAAGCAAGCACCGCTAGCCTGCTGACCCCTGTCTGGAGGAGCTCGGAAAACTAGTTTTAACTTTTCAATTTGCAGGGTTGCCTTGCCTTTTCTTGAGCTAACTGGTGCCTGTTGGTCAGGTTGGTATGGTGGAAGTGGCATTTTTAACTCTGCATAGTTTGGGGGGGGTGCTCTAGCGTCTGACAGTTTCATTTCGGCCTGTTTGTCGCTCAGGAACATCTTGGTGGTGCTGATTATTTCTTGGGACTAGCTAACCAAGAACTGACTTGGAGCACTCGGAATAGGCTTTGAGCAGCTGTAGCACCACGTCAAGCCTGTAGCCAGTAAGGAAGCTGTAGGCTTGGCTTTGGAATGAGAGCAACTCCAGTTGGCCTTGAATAGTCTACCTGTTGGAAGCTTTTATTTCTGTTTGGAGAAGAAGTTGATTATCCTATGACTTCTTAAAATGTTGACTCATAAAGAGGCTGCTTTGCCAGCAAGAAACAAATTTAGCCTGACCAAATTCTTCTCAGTCGCTGTAGAGAATTCTTTATCCAGTGACATGTATTCTTTAAGACTTTAAGTTGTAAAAGAAACTAATGAAATGGGGTTTAAATACCGCAGGAAATGTGAGTCGGTGGTGTTGCTTTCCTTTACACCCATTTCAGTTGCACTTACTTCCCATTCCACGGTAAAGTAATCATCGAAATACTCACTCTGACTACTTGGCTGAATGCAGAGTAACTGTTAGGTCGTAGCATTAAAAAAATCATATCACTCGATGAAAATCTGCTGAGGTGCCCTAGGTTAAGCTGATGAACGTTCATTTTTTTCAAGTGCTATCTATTTTGACAAGTCTGCTTTGTAAAGCACATTAGAATGAGGAGTGTGTCTCGGAGGAAAGGTTAAACTCCAGGAGTGTTACAGCCCAGAGGTGTGAACCTGGTCCTGTGTATACTGCAGGAGTTATTGGTGCAATAATGGTGCAGAGTGAATAGAAGATAAGGTAATGGTTTAAAATAGCAGGTGATGTCGTTCCAAGTATTTTAAACAATCCCTTTTCAAATTAGGCACCTAATGTGTAACCTGATGGTGAGGCAAAGCCTCATTAAAGATTACAGAAACTTTTGGGAGCTTCAGAGATTCTTCTCTGAAAATCTGGTGTTAGGAATGAAGCCTACACATACAGCTTAGAAGCTGCCTGTGGATAAAAACCAAATTGGATGCATGAAAAAGTATATAAAACTGCATCATGCATCAGTAGTGAAGATTTTGATCACATGGAGCTGCTGGGATATGTAAGGAGAGCAGCTACACAATTCAAGAGATGGGATAGTAACAGTTATTGGTATTTATGAAGAATCTGAGCAATGCACTTCTGCTGTGTTTAAGTATGACTTGAAATTTGAGTGAGGTCATTTCTTATGTGTTGAACAGCATATAACATGTTGGGCCTCTGTGGTTTTAGGTCATCTGCCACGTACTCCAGTGTTCATGCCTAGTTTTCGGGCAAGGGCAGGTGTTTCCAACGTGTGTTTGAGTGAATGTGTTTGTACTGCTTAGTCCCAGGTCTTAGTATGTGCTTGCACAAATGCAGTTGGGAATGAGGTTTAAATTCATAGAATCATAAAATGTTTTGGATTGGAAAGGACCTTTAAAGCTCATCTAGTCCAACCCTCCTACAGGGAGCAAGGACATCTGCAACTAGAGCAGGTTGCTCAGAGCAGCATCCAGCCTCATTTGGAATGTTTCCAGGGATGGGGTATCGACCACCTCTCTGGGCAACCTGGCCCAGGGTCTCACCACCCTCAGTGTCAAAAATTTCTTGCTTACTTCTCGTCTAGATCTCTCCTCTTCTAGTTTAAAACCATCACCCCTTGTCCTGTCACAACAGGCCCTGCTCAGAAGTCTGCCCCCAGCTTTGTTACAGGCCCCCTTGAAGTCCTGAAAGGCCACAAGATCTCCCTGGAGCCTTCTCTTCTCCAGGCTGAACAAGCCCAACTCTTTCAGACTGTCCTTATACCAGAGGGGTTCCAGTCCCCCAGTTGTCTCTGTGGCCTCCTCTGGCCTTGCTTGAGCAGGTCCAGCAAACCTTTTTTTAAAGCAGTAGCTATTCAAAAGTTTATGTCCAGTAGCAGAGCCTCACAAAGAACTTGAGGAATCTGGAGGCACTTGATAAGATAAATTCCTCGAAGCTTCTTTGTGGGATGAGTCAGTTTTAACTGTAACTCTCTAAATAACTGCGTGAGAAAGAATATGCAGGGACTGTAAGTTCTTCACAGAAACTCAACGCTGAAAAAACTACTGTAATAGAATGCCAACATCCCAGAAAAATCAGGAGGTTCTGTCCCAATTGTGACCCGTGCAAGAGCTGCAGAAAATTGAGGCTGTAGCTTTTTAGCACTTGTATAACCACAATTGGTTGCTGCCAATGGCTGTGCTGCTCTTGCAGTGGATGCTATATGCATTTAGACCTTTGCCCTTGGAGTATTAAGAGGCTTCCATCTATTGCTAGGCAGGTGGAGTTGTGTGGGGCAAAGCCTGTGGTAGCCTGTGTTTCAGGCTATAGCTAATCAGCAGAACTACAGGCTTGTTGTGGTTTTCGGGCTTCATCTTGGAGCCTTTAGTGCCTAGGAGTGACACTGTGTAGTTGAATTCAGAACATAACTTTGACTGTTGTAATTCAAGGCATGTTACATATCTGAAGTGTTCCCTGTTGATTTTAAGCATGTGTGGCAGGGACATAACTTAAGGTACTACAGAGATACGAGGGGCAGGGAGGAAGAAACTGCTGTGGAACAAGTGTGTTAAGTTGGTTTGAAAAAAGTTGGAAAAAGCTGAGGTATCTAGTACACTTCTTATAATGTATTTTTTTCAGTCCCTTCTCTTGGCTTTATTGCAGTGGAATGTGGAGCTGTTCTTTTATACATCTGCTGTTGACATTACAGGAGATAAAGAAGAAATGTGTAAGAGCAATGCTATGCCCACAATCAGACAGCACTAGTAAGAAACTTAATGGTCATCATAAAGATGAAATGGTATTATAAAGGTGCTTGATTTTTGTAACACGTTGCACTTAGCAGCTACTATGAAGTATTTGAGGAAGCAGCAAACTTGAACAGTGCAAACAACCCCATGTTATTTTCAAAATGTTAGGCTTTTTTCCAGATGCACCTCTTGGCTTAGGACGTGTAAATCAGTGAAGGAAAAAAATTCCCTTAGCTCAAATTAAGTGTCTTACTTTTCATGTTTTCTAATGGGTCAACTTCACTGCTTTCTTTCTTCCCCAGATGTTGGGGCTGCATTTGTAAGCCAAATGCTTCTCTGGATGGTGAGACTGATGGGCATGGGACGAAGGTAGCAACTGTGAGGGTGTTTGGGTTCTTTTTTTAGTGTGTTTGTTTGTTTTAATTTAAGAGAAAGCTGAGATGTCCAGAAAGATGTGAACATGAAGAGCAGCTATGCTGTTAGTGCCAGTAAGCACAAAACTGATTGTCTAATATCAGAACAAATGTAGAAGACTTGGACTAGAGCAGTCAGGTGGTGCTTGGAGTAGTGTATTCTGTAGCAGAAGCCTGACCATGTTTCGTAAAGTGCTTAAGACGTGTAGCTGATCCAATACCCAGGCACATATGTTCTAAAATACTCTAGTAGTGAACTCATTTTGAAGGCTTGGTTATCCCATGTGTCAAGTAATGATGTTTTAGTGTTGAAGTGTACAGGCTTTTGGTTAAACTTGACCATGGGTGCGATAAAGTATGTGGAGTGGCAGAGGGGGAGGGTAAACCTCTGTCTATATATGCATTTAGGTTTGATGGTCAAGCTAGTTGGTACTCTTTTCACTGCTCCAGACTGTTGTGAAAACCTTGTGGCTAATTGGAAACTTGGAATGTTTTTGTCTGGACGCTGTCAGGGTTCTGTTTGTGGCCCTTGGCATGTTCGTGACAAAATTGGACTCTGCAGAGGTGATGTTGAAATAAATATAATTAAAATCATTACCCATCAAAATTAATACCTTGTTTCAAGTACAAGTTGAAATGTGCTGTAGGGATATGAACTATATTTGTCAATGAACTATTGCCGAAGCACACTTGAAATATATTTAATACGAGAACTGTAAGTCAACATACATATTCTGCTCTACTAGTATGCAGAAGAACATTTATATAAGGGTTGTACAACAAAGGTTCTCCTCCTTGTGGGAGGAGGGACGTTGGCTTTTAAACGTGTCTCTTCTGGGTTTGGTTTGGTTTTCCTCCCCCTAACACCACTGGTTTAAATAATAGACTTCATGTGACTTCAGACACATTAATTGTTTGGGTTTTTTTCTGAAGTCCAAGAACTCTACTAGCGTCTCAAGTAATATAGGAGGTGCTCCTCAGCTCCTGTATTGGGCTTACAGCAGGAATTCTTAGCAACTGTTTAAAATAATGTGCTACTGTAGCAAAATGAATTTTTTTTTCTTGTGTGGATTAATCAATGATTGTGCTTTTCTGTCATCTGTGTTAAGCATATTTGGTTGGTTTCCAGTCCATTTTACCATATTGATTGTGTACTTTTGGATTAGATGTGAAAGACAAGTCTGATGATCCTTTATAATTCCTTTACTGTTTTATGCTGCTTTAACTTCCTCTTTGAACTTACAGAAAGAAGGCAAATACGCTAGTTTTCCAAAGTTACTTGTTATGACCCTGTATGTAAAACAGGGAGCAGGAGTCAAACTGGGAACTTCTTACCCTTCTATAGAAAAGCAATTTGAAATTGCATTTGTAGGTTATGTCTCAAATTTACAGGCAGGATAAGAAATGAGAAAGCTTTAAATTAGGTGCTCCACTGAATGATATTTTGTTGTGGTCTTTGGTTAGTTCTCCTCAGTAGTCAATTCCCTTAGCTATAGGTTTTGACCTCATGCCAGAATACTTTGGCTTAGCTTCTGTATGTTTGTTTTAATCCATACCTAGTGTAATTTGTCTCATAAAATCAGGAAAGTTTTCAAAAGGTGTTCTGAATACAGAGACCAATGGCGTCTGATTCTTGATTTACTCCTAAATAGAAGGCTAATCATGCTTCTTACATTACATTGGGGGCAGGGTTGTTTCTCTAAGTGACAGAAATTTGCTGGGATTGTGTATAGGAAGTCCAGAAATGAAATTTGTAACAGATGAAAAATATTCTCTGCCTTGTAGAAAAGGGAGTACGCACACTGGCATGTTAGGATACAATTTTTGTGGCATCTCCTGAAGAGCTTAGCACTGCTAATTAAGTACAGGAGTTAATTATCAATGGCAGGCAGTTAGGGACATGGCTGATTATTAAACCCTTTGGAAAAATTAACAGGGCTTGAGAAGTTTGGGATAAAGGGGCATTGTTTTGATGTTCCATAAAGTTACTCAGTGGTGCGTGCTAGCTGAACACTGACCACACGTGGAAACTGCATTTTTGTTTTGCAGTTCAAGGTGCTTTTGTCCTCTTGACAGGAGAAGTGTACGGGACCTTAATTCCTCTTTTGCTGATCTCACCTGATAACCACCTGTAGAAGTACTGGAAAAAAGCCAGGGAGAAAAAATCAAATTCATTTAAGGAAAAAAACAAAACCAAAAAGTTGGGAAAAGGGAGTTTTTCTCCAAAGGCTCTTTTAGATCCGTTTGCTCTGTGCTTGTAAACGTTTTATGTATGAAATCTATTTCAGGGAAACGTTGCAGTCGGTGCTATTTTATGTCATGTTAATACACTGTCATCAACTGTAAAATAGTATTAACTTGTGCTTATTCTAACAACCTTGACCAAAGTTTCTGCAAAGTAGCTGTTAAGAAGCTTCCACTTCTCTGGTCTCAACAAATTCTGCCATGTGAGCATCCTGACGCTAGCACTGTTGCTTTTTTCGTCGTGTTGATGGGGGCCAGGGCATGGGCGGGTGAAGGCTGGACAGACCTTTTACTATATTAGATTGTTTAAACTGTTCTAAGACAAATTGCATAGATAGCCGTTGTTTGGACTGGTTCTGTAGTCATGCTTCTGAAGGTGTGCAACTCCTGGTCCAAATAATGGCTGACTTGTTGTAGGAAAGAACTTGGGTTTAAAAAATTTCTTTTTTTTTTTGTTTGTGGTGGGCTTCTAGGAACATGCCAATATGATTCTTAACTACTGCTTTGGTCAAGTACAGTTAACCTTTTCCATAGTTATTAAATTCCAAGAGCTAAAGGTTCAAAGATTGGGTTAAATGTGTAGAAACCACGTTTTTGTGGAACAGTGTCACTTGATTGTCACATTAAAGTTTGGAAGTGTTTCTACTTTTTGCTAAGTGTAATTCTTCTGTTCAACAGCAGTGAGCGGAAGAGCATCTGCAATGTCAAACACTCCTACCCACAGCATTGCAACTTCTGTCTCCCAGCCTCAGACGCCAACTCCGAGTCCCATCATTTCTCCTTCAGCCATGCTACCGATCTACCCTGCAATAGATATCGATGCCCAGGTAAGCCTGCAGTGCTCACTGCAGCTCAGAGGCGTCGACCTCTTCTGCTTCTGCATCCTGAATAATTCAAGGGTAGTCAACAGCACAGGTGTGTAATGAATTGCCTTCCAGAGTCTTGATGTGCTGCTTTTAGAAAGCTTGTACAGCTCCCCAGAGAGTTGCAACCCACTTTCCTTTGTGCTCTCGCTGAACAAAAAGAAGGTCTTGGAATGAATAAACACTTGTTATTTGTTGTTGGAGTGATTATAACAAACAGCGAAGTTGAATTCTGACAGAAAGTACTTTTTTAAAATGTTGCACACTGTTGTGCTGGAAGTTGCTGGGCAGTGATCACCCAGCTTGAAACTAATATTAAATTTCTGGGTATTTTTTTAATAAAAGAACATAATGCAAGCTCTCATTCCCACTAGAGAAAAGACATTTTTGTATTGAAGTAGTCCTTTTTAAAAATTACTTTCATGTTGATTTACAGCTAGCTGGCCATCAAACAGAAAAAAATAATCATGGATGTACTGTGTAGTATATGTATGGCTCTGGACAATACATAACATGGCTAAGACATAGGCAGTGTGAGGAAGAGGAACAGCCTGAGATGGTTGTGGAAAAAGGGAGAGAAACCTCTGAAAAACCAGTCCTGGCTGCTTGAGTGGCTCATGGCACTTGGCTCCTGCTGTGAACGCATCCGGGAACTCTTGCCATAACCTGACCAGCCTTGTTGTGAGCTGGTAGAAACCAGTGCAGATCAAGTTTATGATGAGTTGCCCAGTACTCTGGGTCAAAATAAAGTAAAATTAACTTCTCATATAGCAAAGAAATGCATGTGATTGGGTGATTTTGTTATTTTGGTGGTGGCTGTTGTTGAAGAGGAGAGAGAGAAATTATAGTCAGTCCCTACGTTATAACTAACAGTACTGGTGGTCCTCTTGAGCTTCTCAGTTCTCTTTCAAATAGGATAGTGGCCATTTACACGTGCCCTCGCAGCACTGTAAAATGAAACGCACGTTGTTCCATTGCAGGTGCTGCTACTGAGAACTACCTACCACCAGAAATGCTCACTTGGAGACTCTGTACGAGTGCTCTAAAGGGAGAAAACTTGAAAGCAGAGCGTAAGCTCAAAGACTTCTGTATTATGTTCAGTTGTTTTGTTCCTTTCCATGGCTGTGTTATGTGAACTCACTGATTTCTGTAGTCAATTTCTATTGTTTGGAGGCTTCAACAACAGTAGTAGTGAGACAAGGCATTTTTTCCCCTGTGGTTTAACTGGATGTTTAAGAATTAAACACAGAATTCTTGCTTTCATTGTACCGTGCATCAGTCACAGTCAAGCAATGGTCGAGAAGTCCATCTAGTTAGCAAAGCACAGGTGAAATCTTGGTTCTGGAAGAATTTCTGTTCTTGTTGGGAGTTGTTCTCAACTCTCCCAACAGAGCTGACCTGAGAAATAGAATCCTGTTATGAACTTGAACGCAAAAGACAAGGGTGAGCTCGTTGGTAGACATGTCTTTAGTTTACAGAAGCTTTTTCTTTTGTCACAGGTATAGCTGTACGTGGGCTAATAGGCAGTATAACAGGTTGAGCCTGAGGAAGGCAGTACTTACCTTGTTGTGTGTATGATGTCTGTGTGTTTCAGACCGAGAGTAACCATGACACAGCATTGACACTTGCTTGTGCCGGTGGCCACGAGGAACTAGTACAAACACTGCTAGAGCGAGGAGCTAACATTGAACACAGGGACAAGAAAGGTACGTATCTTCTTGTGGCAGTGCATACCCTCTCCACTTCTCCGGTACATCCCACTAAATCAGCACACATCCTTTCTCATTCCAGGGTTTACTCCGCTTATTTTGGCTGCTACAGCTGGCCATGTGGGAGTTGTTGAAATCTTACTGGATAATGGAGCAGATATTGAAGCCCAGTCCGAGAGAACCAAGGACACTCCCTTGTCTTTGGCTTGTTCAGGAGGAAGACAAGAGGTGAAGTAAAGCTTAAGTCTTCAAAAGCAGTGCATAGGTCACATATTGTGTCAGTACAGTAAAGGAATCTGCTAGATATATAGAAAAAGATAAGAAGCGATCTATAAGCCAGAGCAGTACTGTGCAGACCACCTTAATGGCTGTAATCATTAGTGGCTCATCATGAAGCTTTCATCAGGCTAATATAGGTATGTAGGTGTAAAAAGGAATATGATGAGTGTTCCTGTTCAGAACCTGGAGTTGATGGATTGGTTCCATAAGTAAGTCAGGAGGACTTACTTTGATGGATTCTGGGCCATGATATACCAGAGTACTGCAGATGACTCCAGCATCTGTTAGTGAAAACATGAAAAACATTTTTCAAATGATTGATTAAAAGTAAATGTAGGGGAAGGTGGTTTTTTGATATTATGTGAAGTACTGTATTTTATGACTTAATGATGACATCTGTGTTTTATTTTTCTTTAATGGTTGTTAGAAGTCTCAGGTGTATAATTTTGTTAATGCTTGTGCTGTTTGGACTGGAAAAGCCACACTGGAAGCTACATATTCTGGTCCCCTTCCTCTGTGACTGACGGGAAATGAAAGAGGTTGGAGACACCTCTCCCACTTGAACAGGTTGTCTTCACAGTGCTACTGTGGCATTTAAAAGATTATTACTTGCCGATATAAAATCTTAATGAAAACTTGAAGCTCCTCTAAATTGTTTATAGTGCCATCCAGCAGATTTCAGATGCTGGAAGGTTAGCTGCAATAACAGTCCTGTGGTCTTAGTGGTCAGGGTCTAATCTAAACATGTTTTACGCTTAAAAGCTGAAAGCGGAGCAAATTAAACGTTGCACTGGAGATGACACAGTGGGTTTTCACCTCAGAGTTCTTTTTCTTAAGTTTCTAGACAGCTTAGTTTCTTGTCAAGTCTTCTGCAGAAACTTCATTACAGAATATAAACTTTGTGTGGAAGTATTTGGGTTGTAAATCAGTCTCTAAGGAAGGAATAATTATGGGAAAAGTGCTTGTGTTGTTAAACGTATGCAAACGTTCATTTTTCTAATGGCTCTTGCATAAGATATCAGTGTACAGTCTACACACCATTGGGTGTAGTGAGGTAAATGGAGAACAGAAGATAAAAGAGCACAATTGCTTTCTTGTTTGCTCCACAGCTTCAGTTGGAGGATGAGTTTTTAACTGAATGGTGAACTGAGCATTGAAATGAAGAGGTCAAAAAGCAAGAGTACTTTGTATACTGTATTCAAACAATCTCTGGTTTTGGCACCCTTTAAAGATGACTGAAATAATAATTAAAAGATCTCAAATTTTTCTTGCTATGTTGTGTAAATGGGTATGAATGGTTTAAGCATGCTAATGAGCAATCATGATTTGTAAAAGGAGTTTTACAGTGACTTTGGAAACAGTTTCAGCCAGAGTTTTAGGCAAGGAGCACAGGGAAGTAACTGAGTAAAATCACTTTCATACTGGTGGAAGATGTCAGTGGTATATTTAGGCTTCAAAAACTTTTGCCCTGGATAGATTTGCAAGTTCAGGAGAAAACCAGATGTTATTTCTTAAAACACTGCAGGTGGTGGAGTTGCTGCTAGCTCGAGGGGCAAACAAAGAGCACAGGAATGTTTCTGATTACACACCTTTAAGCCTCGCCGCTTCTGGTGGCTACGTGAACATTATCAAGATTCTGCTAAATGCTGGGGCAGAAATAAATTCCAGGCAAGTTCCCTTTTCACCCCTTCTCTCATGGTTTCTGTGGCATTCTGAGTTTTTTACCCTCTCCAGAAAGATTTCTTGAACTTTGTGGAGCAGAATCTTAACTATTCTTACATGATCACAACCAATGTATTGTTTAATTTGTAGTAGGCCTCTTACCCCTTGAGCTAGAAATGAAGGGTTTTGATTGTGCGTTTCAAATGCTCTTTTAATTTCCATCTCCCATTATGTTTTTTGTTAACTTGTTTCCCATATCATACGATCAGGCTCCTTTGTCAGAGACAGAAATCTTCCTTCTTGCTCTAGTTGGTCTGCTGGATTGAAATGAGTTCTGGGTTCTTTGAAGAGTGTGCGCGTGTGTGCTCATCCCTCCACTTTCCCTGTGCAGTGTAAGGAGAGCTTTTTCCCTGTGCAGATGCACGTGTGTGATGCTTCTGCATCCTTGGGGAGGTAGAAGAGTCAAAAGGGAGAGTCCAAACAACAGTTACACTCCTCATAAGAGATGCCTTTAACTTTACAGCAATGGAGAGGAAACATGCACAGTATCTCTAAGCAGAAACACTTGTCATAAGCAGTACTATTACGGAGAACCTCTTGTAGCTTCAGTAGTAGTTGCTGTGTAGCTGCTTCTTCTGTCTTGGATAAATACTCTGCCTTCACTAGTTCTGTTAAAGTTATTTCAGAAATGGGATTATGATTTAGAGAGTGGGTTTTTTTTCTTTCTTTGTCTTTCAGAACTGGCAGCAAATTGGGCATTTCTCCCTTAATGTTGGCAGCCATGAACGGGCACACTGCTGCTGTCAAGCTATTACTGGACATGGGCTCTGATATAAATGCCCAGATAGAGACCAACAGGAATACAGCACTGACTCTGGCTTGTTTCCAAGGGAGAACTGAAGTGGTCAGTCTGCTGCTGGACAGAAAAGCTAACGTGGAACACAGAGCTAAGGTAAGGAACAAAGAGCTGAGTAAGTCCCCAGAGGCAGGTGCTTATTGGTCATCATTTCTGTGGTCATCTGATGATTTCCTTGTCTTCTCTAGTTCAGTTGCCCAAACGGAACCATGTATTATAAAGAAAGTTATAAAAGGATTTAACGCATTGAAAAGGATACCAGCCATAAGCGTGGCGTTCTGTTCCTCTCTTTTTCTTGTGCTTAATGGTTGCTGTAGAGGAGCTCCAGAGGCCTTACATGATGCTGATAGCTGCTCAGTATTCTTCTTGTTTAAGTTATGTCCCCCTTTGACCTAGCCAAGTGCTTCTGAGATGCTGGCTGCCTAGGATCTCATAACGGAGGGAGGAAATGTGATTGGCATTATTTGTATAGTAACGTGGGCTCTGAGACTTGATGCTGATGAGGGCCACCGTGCACTGCTGCTCAGCGCAAGCTCTTCTCAGGCCAGCCATAGATGAGCGTGCCTTCAAAGTGCTGCTAAGCACTATAAAATAGGTCAGGTAACAACTGGAATCCTTACACCAGAGCTAGAAATACACTGCTGGAAGTTGAAATAAATCCTGGCTCTCAAGTAAAAGCCACCTCCCGCTCCCAACTAACTGCTTGCTTTTCCTGCTTGCTTATCTTTAGACTGGTCTCACGCCATTAATGGAAGCAGCTTCTGGTGGATATGCAGAGGTGGGCAGAGTTCTGCTGGACAAAGGTGCAGATGTAAATGCTCCTCCAGTACCTTCTTCAAGAGATACAGCTTTAACCATTGCTGCAGACAAAGGGCACTACAAATTCTGTGAGCTTCTCATTAGCAGGTGCTGTATTTGCATTTTTATTTGTGATTTTACCATACACCTTGAAGAAAAATATCTTGAATATGGCCCTACTTAGACTGATCTTAGACCCAACATACATGACAGGGTGGGAAAAGAGAGAGGTTCTGTGGCAACCATTACTATGAATTTTTATTTACTGAAAGTGATCAAATAAAGTTCTCTTTGGTGTTAGGCTGCTCACTTTTGCCCAAAAGGACTAACTTTTTCCTGTCTCACTGAATTGTCACTGTTAGAAATAAACAATTTCTTGTAAAGTGTACATACATGGTACTCATAGTCATGCCACACAACCATTTTAGATTGTAGCACTGAGTCCCTAAACAACAGAAGATGCAGGTGAAGTGTGTGTCCGAATAATTCCCTGGTTTTATTAGAGGGATCACTATGCACATTCAGTGTAACTCTGTTTCCTGGGTAGTTTTGGCTACGTTGTTTTCCAAGTAGTAGCACTGGTTGCTGGCTTGCTCTTGAAATGTTGCAACCTGTTTTGAGTAAGGTAATGAGGAATACAGTGTATTGATGGTTGGGAGTTAATGAACTAATTAGAGAAGCTTCAGAGACAGCTAACAAACAGAATGATTTAGAATATTAAAATTTTTTTTAGACTGACTTGAAGCTCTTGACAGCATCAGAAGAAACAAAAAAGCAATTTTTGGGAGCGCTCGGTGAATGCTGATGTTTGATGTAAAAATGTGTGTTGAATTTTACCCTATTGTTCTTGTGTTCCATGTCTGCTTTACCAGTCTGGTTGATACATGGAGGATTTTGATTGAACATGTTTGTCATTGTAGAGGAGCTCACATTGATGTGCGAAACAAGAAGGGGAATACTCCACTGTGGCTGGCAGCAAATGGAGGACACCTAGATGTTGTCCAACTGCTTGTTCAAGCTGGAGCTGATGTGGATGCTGCAGATAACAGGAAAATAACTCCTCTTATGGCAGCCTTTCGAAAGGTAGAACATGAACTTCAGCTTTGGACTTAGCCAGTATTGTCCCTACACGGTTGTTATAAATAGGACGTAGCTGACAGAAATTAGATATTTAAAAATACGTCAACTCATTTTAATACTTGGCATTGAATCCTCAAAACTAGGTATATGTGTCACCTATGTAATATCCATGTTAATTTCTAGTAGCAGTTTGCTTTATAAGCACTTTAACTGAGGCTGGTTCTCATGAGCCTCTTGAGAGGTAAAAACAGCAGTGAAAAATTTGCAGTGAAAATCTGTGTTGAGGGAAGGGGGGGGACAAGATTTAGTTTGTTTCCTCTCCAAGAGAGTATGAGCACTTTTGCAAAAAAAAAAAAAGAAATAAAAATTAGAAGGGCAGTTTAGCCTAGTTTGACTCTAGGGATGGTTGTTGTTATCAAAGGAGTGTAGTTCAAGGGCTGCAGTATTTGAAAAATTGCACGGTTGTAGGAGCCTGCAACTTTTAAGTTGCCAGAGGTGGGCATTTGAAAACAAATAGTTTAAAAATAAAGTTTGTGAAAGTCTGGCTGGAGTAAGGGCAATGTGACAAGAGGTACCATATTGCTTGTCTCCTCTTGTCATACATGTGAGGAAGCATCCCTCGCTAGCTTAGGAGGCAATAAAGATCAAATTTTAAAGAACAACTAAAAAGGAGATTTAGTTAAATACTTTTAATGAGTGCTTGGACTAAAATGAGTGTTTTTAGCAAACCAGAAGCAGCTTTTTCAGGGTCTTTTCTCTCACTTTTCAGGGTCATGTCAAAGTGGTGCGCTACCTAGTGAAAGAAGTAAACCAGTTTCCATCAGACTCGGAATGCATGAGATACATTGCCACAATTACTGACAAGGTAAGATTGTAAGTAAGGAAGTTGTTGAGAAGGAGTAGAGCTGTGACTTAGCTCAAGAGTCGATGGTACGAGTGCTCTTTAGCTTCCTGGAACATGAGATGTCAGCCAGATGATGGTGCCAGTTGAAATTTTTCATTTTAAAAACTAGCAAACAATAGGAGCACGTGGCCACGGTACCTTTGCGCGCCTCAGTGCTGTGAGAGCAGTAGTAAAGGTGGTGGGGTTTATTATCCATTCTTATTTTCAAGTCTCCTCCCAGTCGTTGCCTCACTCTGCTCTGCATTCCTCCCTGTTGAGCAAGTTTATACTGAATTTATGATGGCTTTTGAACTGGGGTCGAGATAACAGAATGAACTTCTGCTAAGACTGTGAGATTAAGTATGAAGATACATAGTCTTCCTCTGGTTTGTACTAGGAAGAAAACTGATAACTTAATGGACAGTAACGTGGTTTCTTGTAGCGTATGAAATTAATTGTGATGAGTGTGTCGAGGCTCAAGAGGTGCGAATCTTTTAAATCAGTACATGTTTTATTGCCAGTGGCTGTGATCACTGGCTGCTGTCGTGGGTACCTTATGCCTTCAAACATTTTCACTGCTATGCAGCCAACGTGGTTGTGTATGAAGAGGAATTCACTGGAGGGAGTTTAAAGTTCTGCCTCAAAAGTCACCTGTTGAAATGCTGGGGTTTGAACCCCGAGCCCCCGAATTAAGGTTGACATATGGGTGATTCCCACAGCCCTTCATAAAGAGGTGGTGAGTTTGCCTTATAGCTTCCCCCCAGGGTGCGGCCGGCCCTGCAGGGAGAGCCA